GTTTATTTGCTCGTTTGTCACACAAACGAAACTGAAATTCTCACAATTAATTGCTAACATATTTCACATATTTATTCGAGTATACAACATTGCAAAAATTACATTTTGCGATAGAGACGACATTCCGCTAGCTTGTTTACATAATGCAACAGTTGCAACATAATTTCCTGTTTTTATTTCAGGTTGTTTACCGCTGGAATTTATACACACAGTAAAAACAACAGATCTGCACTTATAAGAGCATTTTCTGTTTACCCTATAGTAACACAATTCATTCAGATGTACTGTAAAAAGGTACACGAAACATTTTGTGTCAAGTTGTTCTCAAAGTATCTTTGTAATTCAATTCTTTCAGTTTGAAAGAAAAATAATACTCAAATAAATAAGAATTATTAAAATTTGTAAATCTCTGTTTGAAGATTAACTTAATTCTTCGTTTATACACACATATTCCGCTCCACACACACACACACACACACACACACACACACACACACACACACACACACACACATATATATATATATATATATATATATATATATATATATATATATATATATATATATCCAATTTGTGACTGGATAATTCCAAGAAGGATATTAATCCAGGGAGAGCTTAATGTAAACTGAAGAGCATAATAATAATAATCAAGAAGAAAACCTTAAAGATTTATTTCGGTTAAAATTTATTTCGTGAATATCTACATATTCATCTCTTCAGAACGAAACCTTTTAGGAAAGGGAAACAATTCCCCGGACTGATATATTAGATTGACAGTGGGGAAGCAAGAGAGAAGAGAAGAAAGAAGTAGAGGAAGAAGAAAAGTGATGGATGGTCAAGTTCGAGAGGGTAAAGAATAGAAAAATTCTTGGCAGGGTCCGTTTATTTTAGGCTTACTACTATCCATTCATCTCCTCCCCTGTCCTTTCCTTACCCTCTCTCTATCTCACTTTTTAAAAAGAATTTGACCAGCCATCACTTTTCTTCTTCCTCTCCTTCTAATAGATTTCGGTCTGAAGAGATGAATATATAGATATTCACGAAATAAATGAATCTTGAAGGTTTTCTTCTTGATTATATATATATATATATATATATATATATATATATATATATATATGTGTGTGTGTGTCTGTCAAAAATGATAATTGGAAAAATTCTTAGTTCTTGCCGACTTTATCAAGGCAAACAATGAAAGCGAAATGTTTTGTAGCCGTAGCTATGGATACATAACATTTCGGCAAGAACTAAGAATTTTTCCAATTGTCATTTTAAACCGATTTGTCTTATCTTCAGAAACATTATAGTAAATTTCACTCTCTCTCCCCCCTCTCTCTCTCTCTCCTATATATATATATATATATATATATATATATATATATATATACTTGAAAAATAGTATTCTTATGCAATGGAATTATGCTTTTATAAATGTATTTCACGTTGGAATACAGGTTCCCGGACGATCACTGTGGTTAATGTCTCGGAATTGTTAATCAGAGAACTGTGTTTCAGTTCCCGTTGGGTTCGTTATATTCCTTTACGGGCAAATAACCTTGGGAAAGGGATGAATCCATCTTTTCTCCTCCCAGCTATGGTCTAATTAGTAAGACCTGTATCACTAAAACAAATATTATGTAAAAAGAAACTTTTACAATCTAAAAATACTTTTGGGCTTTAAATAAACTCTAAAGAGCTGATAAGCTGCAGAAAATGAATTCATCAATCAATAAATGTATTGGCTTGACTACCGTTTACCGGGCCTGGAGGAAGACAATTTTGGTGATGAAGTACAAAGTCAAAGAAAACCCAAGAATAGCAAATAAAGATTTAAATACATAATCCTTTTCTATTAATGTTCTGGTTCTTTCTTGAATAAGTGAGATTCTATCTAGTTATAATTAATTACCTCGATATAATTAGTGGTAAAAAAAAGCACTTAGACGTAATGTACTGGTTAGCTAGCGTGTCCCACCAGGGTGATAAAGTAGTTTGATCCTTACAGGATGCTCCACATCCTGTGTCATATCTAAGCTAAGCGTGGTGTAATAGTAAGAAAGCTTGTCTAGTTCAATTTTGACTCAGTAGTGTGTTTGATCCTCACTGAGGCTCCACACTTTCAGGCTTGGGCGACATCTAAGCTCCGCTGAGAAAATAATTTAGGCCGGTTGGCGTGGTGTAATGGTAATCAAGCTTGTCTAGACCAATTTTGACGCAGTAGTGTGTTTGGTTCTCACTGAGGGCTCCAAACATTCGGCCTTGGTCCACATCTAAGCTACGCTGAGAAATTGCTTTAGGCACCTCGACTTGGTGTAATGGTAAGCAAACTTGTTTGGTCACTTATGCCGCAGTAGTGTGTTTGATCTTCATTGAGGGCTCCACACTTTCGTCCTTGTGCCTCACTTAAGCTACATTGAGAAAATAATTTAGGCCGCTCGATGTGGTGTAATGGTATACAATCTTGTCTAAATCAATTATGACTCAGTAATGAGTTTGATCGTCACTGAGTTGCTTTTATTTTTGAAAGTCTATTTTTTAAATAGAGACTGCTTGGAGAAAGTGTCTTTGTTCTTTTGGAGGAAAGATATTAATACAGGGGCCATCTGGAAAAAGCTTGGCTGACAATTGGTTGTTGGTGCTGTCTTATAGTGGAAGTTACTAAAATATCTTTTAAGGACCAGGCGGAAAGCAAGGTCTATTGCGTTGATAAAATTTGGTAATTTTTGAAGACTAAAGCGGAAGTTGAGAAACTGAATCTTTCCACCTATCAAAAGGTGTAAATTGTAAACAGACCAAGAAAAATATTTTTTTTTATGTAAGGACCCAGCCAAGGGCCAATAAGTGCGATTGAGTTAACACGCTATGCAGATGGCTGTCGGTGGAAAAAGCTGGTAAATTTCGGATTATATAAACAAGACCTTAGGTTGGGAGTATTTGCTGACGAAAATTAAAAGGGTAATTGAGATCAACGACCATGCGGTTTAAAAATCGGATTGCCAAAATGACAACTGAGGTGAAAGGCTTAGATGAGATATCAAGAAAGATGGAGAAATTGCCTACGCCCATTGGGAGGTGCGAGGTATAAATAAGGGAAACGAGTGGGCCAGTACCTGTATCCGCTACCCGAAGGAAGAAGGGAGCTCCCAAATTTGGAGAGATAATTAATTTTCCAAAGCCAGACAGCAAAGAACTATTGTTCAAAGACAGGGAAAGCCACAAATTCCCAAACACATCAACCCCATGCCAGTCTTGGGTAAGGGTCAATATAAGCAGAGCGCTGAAGCGATCAAGAAAGTTGCAGTTGCAGTTGAAGGATCAGACGAAGAGAGACGACTACGCTGCCGAAGTCCACGTGATTTGTTGTCAAAGAGAATTCCCAACTTAAGCCTTGTTCCAGACCTTGCAAAATGAGTAAAGTGTTACGATAGAATGGGAAGAGTTAACTTTTCTATATAAAGGACTATATAAACCACACTGAAAACTGAGCTGAAGAATTTCTTGTCTTCTTTTATTTTGTCTGCAAAGAACATTTTTTTAAATTTCCTTTGGGACACAGTTTCACTGTGGTTCGAACCAGCGCTGCGATTGCTCACGACAACTCAGTCTTTGTTAGCTACGAGATCAAAAAGCACAACGTGGAAGAGCAGGACCGCAGACTAGGGCGGCAATTTCAACGACCAACGGCAGTATTGGCCAGAAAGACAAAATTTTAATGAGCTAACGAAATTATGAAGCTGAAAATCCTTAAGGGAATGTCCCTTCAGAAGAAGAAGAAGAATGAGAAAGATGAAAGGACATATCAAAGTCAAAAGGGACCATGAAAGCCATGATCGAAATCCTTAAGGACACGGCACATGTTCCTTCAGAAGAAGAAAAAGAATGAGAAAGATGGATTTGGCAGTCAAAGGACATAAGAAGACAAAAGAAGAATGAGAAATGATCGCCGATTTGGCATGTCAGAAGAAGAAAAAGAATGAGAAAGATGGATTTGGCAGTCAAAGGACATATCAAAGTCAAAAGGGACAAAGAGAGAGAAAGTTGTGGAGAGCCATGATCGCCGAAATCCTTAAGGGACACGGCACATGTTCCTTCAGAAGAAGAAAAAGAATGAGAAAGATGGATTTGGCAGTCAAAGGACATATCAAAGTCAAAAGGGACAAAGAGAGAGAAAGTTGTGGAGAGCCATGATCGCCGAAATCCTTAAGGGACACGGCACATGTTCCTTCAGAAGAAGAAAAAGAATGAGAAAGATGGATTTGGCAGTCAAAGGACATATCAAAGTCAAAATGGACAAAAAAGAGAGAAAGTTGTGGAGAGCCATGATCGCCCACGTATTGAAGGACACATTTCAAAGAAGAATAAGAAGGTTGTGTGCATGTATATGTGTGTGTTTGTGTGTGATTATGTGTATGCATATGAGAGAGAGAGAGAGAGAGAGAGAGAGAGAGAGAGAGAGAGAGAGGTACAAATACAGAAAGGAAAACAACGTATAATATACTTATTAATCTTGAGTAAATCGATGGCAGAACAGGGTTTAGAATGAATATAAAAAGGACAATTTATTAAAAGCTACGACGGACAGGAAACTCTGGTGAGACATGATCGCCAACGTCCTGAAGAGACACAGCAAATAAAGAAGGTTAGTTTGGTATAGAAAGAAAGTAGTTTTTGATTTTGTGCCAATTGTAAATAGTAAAATCAGGAAATATGTTGAATAAAAGGAAAAGTTACTTTCCAGACATGCCTTTCTTATAGAAGAAAATGGCTTTGGAAAAGCAGAAACTGAATAACAAAATTCACAAACGTTTCACAATTCTTCTCAATATCAAATTATAGATTTTCTTTCACAATTTTCAGACGTTTTTTCCTCTTCTTCGATTCGTGTACATTCTCTTGTGTATTTGCCGCTTTTTGTGTGCGTACAGAGACATTGAGGAAATATTGACAGAAAAAGGTTACACATTGATTGGCAATAAGAATTTTTTTTTCTCTATTAGAATCTACGTGCGTGAATCATGGAAAAATAAAAAAATTGGAAATTGGTGGAACTGTTAAAAGATTTTGTTCCCTCTTTCATTCTTTCTTTCTTTCTTTCTTTCTTTTCATCTTACTTTTCCTCCTTTCTTTCTTTTCTTTCTTTCTTTCTCATCTTCTTTTTCTCATGTTTCTTTTCTTTCTTTCTTTCTTATTTTCTTTCTTTCTTTCTTCTTGCTTTTCATCTTTTATCTTTCTTTCTTTGTTTCTTTTCTTTCTTTTCTTTCTTTTTTTTCTTTCTTTCTTTCTTTTCTTTCTTTGTCATCTTGCTTTTTCATCTGCCTTTCTCATGTTTCTTTCTTTCTTTTCTTTCTCCTTTTTTTTCTTTCTTTCTTTCTTTCTTTCTTTCTTTCTTTTTATCTTCTTTTCATCTCCCTTTCTTTTTTTCTTTCTTTTCTTTCTCATCTTGCTTTCTCATCTCCTTTCATTTTTTTTCTTTCTTTCTTTCTTTCTTTTTTTTTTATTTCTTTCTTTCTTTCTTTCTTTGTCATCTTGCTTTCTCATCTGCCTTTCTTTTTCTTTCTTTCTTTCTTTCTTTCTTTCTTTCTCATCTTGCTTTCTCATCTCCCTTTCTCATTTTTTCTTTCTTTCTTTCTTTCTTTCTTTCTTTCTTTCTTTCTTTCTTTCTTTCTTTGTCATCTTGCTTTCTCATCTGCCTTTCTCATGTTTCTTTCTTTCTTTCTTATTTTGCTTTCTTTCTTTCTCATCTTGCTTTCTCATCTCCCTTTCTCATCTTTCTTTCTTTCTTTCCTTCTTTCTTTCTTTCTTTCTTTCTCATCTTGCTTTCTCATCTCCCTTTCTTATCTTTCTTTCTTTCTTTCCTTCTTTCTTTCTTTCTTTCTTTCTTTCTTTCTTTCTTTCTTTCTTTCTTTCTTTGTCATCTTGCTTTCTCATCTGCCTTTCTCATGTTTCTTTCTTTCTTTCTTTTCTCATCTTTCTTTCTTTCTTTCTTTCTTTCTTTCTTTTTTTCTTTCTTTTCTTTCTTTCTTTCTTTTCTTATCTTTCTCATCTCCCTTTTCATTTTTTTCTTTCTTTCTTTCTCATCTTGCTTTTCATCTCCCTTTTCATTTTTTTCTTTCTTTCTTTCTTTTCTTTCTTTCTTTCTTTCTTTCTTTTCTTTCTTTCTTTTCTTTCTTTCTTTCTTTCTTTGTCATCTTGCTTTCTCATCTGCCTTTCTCATGTTTCTTTCTTTCTTTCTTTCTTTCTTTCTTTCTTTCTTATCTTGCTTTCTCATCTCCCTTTCTCATTTTTTTCTTTCTTTCTTTCTCATCTTGCTTTCTCATCTCCCTTTCTCATTTTTTTTTCATTCTTTCTTTCTTTCTTTCTTTCTTTCTTTCTTTCTTTTTCTTTCTTTCTTTCTTTCTTATCTTGCTTTTCATCTCCCTTTCTTTTTTTCTTTCTTTTCTTTCTCATCTTGCTTTCTCATCTCCCTTTCTCATTTTTTTTTCTTTTTTTTCTCATCTTGCTTTCTCATCCCCCTTTTCATTTTTTTTTTCTTTCTTTCTTTCTTTCTTTCTTTCTTTCTTTTTCTTTCTTTCTTTCTTTGTCATCTTGCTTTCTCATCTGCCTTTCTCATGTTTCTTTCTTTTTTCTTTTCTCATCTTTCTTTCTTTCTTTTCTTTCTTTCTTTCTTTCTTTCTTTCTTATCTTGCTTTCTCATCTCCTTTCTCATTTTTTTTTTCATCATCTTGCTTTCTCATCTCCCTTTTCATTTTTTTTTCTTTCTTTCATTCTTTCTTTCATTCTTTCTTTCTTTGTCATCTTGCTTTCTCATCTGCCTTTCTCATTTTCTTTCTTTCTTTCTTTTTTGTTTTCTTTCTTTCTCATCTTGATTTCTCATCTCCCTTTCTCATTTTTCTTTCTTTCTTTCTTTCTTTGTTTCTTTCTTTGTCATCTTGCTTTCTCATCTGCCTTTCTCATGTTTCTTTCTTTCTTTCTTTCTTTCTTTCTTTCTTTCTTTCTTTCTTTCTTTCTTTCTTTCTCAATTTCATTCTTTTACTCTGTCTCTATCGTTCTCTTTTCCTCTCACTGTTTCTTTCTCTTCTTCCTTTATTTCTCCTATTAGTATTCACTTTATTTTTTCTCTATCTTCTTTCCTACCCTTTTTATTTCTTTCATGCCCACTCATTTTTTTTTCTTTCTGTTTCTTTCTTTTCCTCTTTTTTTCACTCTTTCTATTTATCTCTCTTTTTCTTTCGTTTTCTTTCCCCCTTTCTCACTCACTATTAGTCAGTTTCTCTATTTTTTCTTTCTTGCTTCTGCTTTCACATTTTATTTTCTTAAATTTATCTTACGTTTTTCTCTCTCTTTCCCTATGCATTCCCCTCTTGTTATATTCATCATCTTTTTCTAACTCTTCCTTTTCTCTCTCTCTTCCCTTTTCTTCTTCTTCCTTTTCCTTTTTTTCTGTCTCTCTTTCTTTTCTCTCTTTCTTTCTTCACTCTCTCTTTCTTTTTTCTTCCTCTAATCTTTCTTTTCTCTCTCTTTCTGTTCTCTCTATTCTTCTCTCTCTCTCTTTTCTCTTTTATTCTTCCCTCCTTTCATTTTCTCTATCATTCTGGATATTTACTTTTAACCTTTCTTTTAACCTTTCTTTCTTTCTTTCTTTCTTTCTTTCTTTCTTTCTTTCTTTCTTTCTTCTGTTTCTCTTTTATACTATATTGCCTTTCTCATTTTTTCTCGTTGGTGCTTTTTGTACGCTTTCATTTCTCGCCATCTTAAAGTATCTTTTTCTACTCCCTCTTTTGAATTTACCTCCTCTCTATATCCGTTTTATCTCTCTATTCCTTTGTGTTCTTATTCCCTTTTTCTATCCTTTCTTTCCTCTCTTTCTCACTTATTCCTTTTTCTTTCAATCTCAAACTCTCTTTTTCCTTTTTTCTCTTCCACTTCCCACTGTTGTTTTTTTTCCCGCCTTCTCTCTCTATATGTTTCTATCTCTCTATATCGTCAGGCATTTCGTCTATAACAATATCTTCAATAGTTAAAGAAAATGAATAAAAGAATACTTTTGGTCAAGTTTTGCTTGCATGGAAGAACAGCGAAGAATTTCGATAGGCACTTTTTAAAGAAGAACAATACTGAAAGTAAGATTGAATATATTTCTCTGAAGATTTTCGTTGTGACATTTTCTTGAATTGATGTTAGGCACCAGGAATTGGCGTTTTTAAAATAAGTGCTCTTGATTCAAAATGACATTCTTTTTTAACAAAGTCCAGAAACCTTCCCTGAACTACTGGATATCAATTTTCTACATATCAGTGAATGCTTTAAAATCCAAAGACGAGTAAGCAATATTTGGCATCTCCACTACAGTTTCTTTTCTCACAGACGTGATGTGGCTTCCTCTGTCTTTTCTCAAATATTTTCATGGCAACGGCTCAGACGAGCTTATTTTCACTGGTGATGAGCGTTCTACTAGGGTTATCTTGTCCCACCCTTTTTACATTTAACCACTTATTCTTCCGACAGCATCTTCTTTTTCAGTATCTGTCTATATTTTGAGATGAGGTATTATGTACACTATTTACATTATTCAAATATTGTCCTCATCTTTGTCGCCATATTTATACGTTTCAGCCTTTCAGCATCTGTCTATATTTCTGAGATGAGGTATTATCTACACCATTTACATTATTCGGACTATTGTCCTCATCTTTGTCGCCATATTTATTACAACGTTTCGGCCTTTCAGTATCTGTCTATATTTCTGAGGTGAGGTATTATGTACACTATTTACATTATTCGGACTATTGTCCTCATCTTTGTCGCCATATTTATTACAACGTTTCGGCCTTTCAGTATCTGTCTATATATCTGAGATGAGGTATTATCTACACTATTTACATTATTCGGACTATTGTCCTCATCTTTGTCGCCATATATTGTGGCGAAAATGGGAGCCAAAAGAACGTTAATACTTAAAAACTGAGGTGACATGATATTTTTCAAAGATGTAGGATTGTCAAGGCTGAAAATAATATTGAATAACATTCTAAGGAGATTAAATCAATGAAATGCATCGGGAACTTACGTTATTAAATCATGGGTTGTTTATTAGATCAAAATTACATTTTTTTTATTTAACTAATTCCATAAAAGTTTCATGTCAGTGGAAAATGTGCGACCGAGAAGGCGCAATAACTTGTTTTACTGGCGGTTCTATAAAGTCTATAACAACTATCTGCTGGAATTGCTAGATACCCTTGACGCGTGTGAGAGGGAATATTATCATAAAACAGAATATATACTGGCAGCAAACCACCTGTATGTGGATAGGAAATGAGTTTAGTAAAGAAACAAATATAGAAAGGGTGGAAGATAATGAGCCATCTTCTCACCAGACATTTTTCATCCTATACAGCGAGGCCATTCTGAGAAACGTAGAAAGCCCTACCAAGATTCATTATTGGCAACCACAATGTTAATAACATAACATATAGAGAGATGAAACAGTCATGATAGCAGAAATGGAAAGGGAACTACAATAACGACTACAAAAAGGTTGAGAAGGAAAGTGAGAAGAAAGGACTAAATATATTTTTTCTAACTTGGCTGAAAAGCTGTAGTTTCATTTTGGAGGTGTTCAAATTCTCAAGATATGTCTTGCCGCTGTTACCAATTGATTGATGGTCAGCTACCAGTTCTATTTCATTGAAACTATCGGCTTTGTTATTATTTCATCGTAACTGTCGGCTTTGTTATTATTTCATCGTAACTATCGGCTTTGTTATTATTTCAACGGAATTATCGGCTTTGCTATTATTTCATCTTAATCATCGGCTTTGGTTCTTATTTATAACCATCGGCTTTGGTCTTTATCATCGTAAAATCGGTTTTGTTTCTTATATCCATCGGCTATCATCGTAACCATCGGTTTTGCTTTTATATCATCGTAACCATCGGTTTTGCTTTATATCATCGTAACCATCGGCTTTGCTTTTATATCATTAACCATCGGCTTTGCTTTTTTCATCGTAACCATCGGTTTTGCTCTTATATCATCGTAACCATCGGCTTTGTTTTATATCATCGTAACCATCGGTTTTGTCTTATATCATCGTAACCATCTTTGTTTTATATCATTGTAACCATCGGTTTTGGTTTTTATATCATCGTAACCATATCATCGTAACCATCGGTTTTGCTTTTATATCATCGTAAACATCGGTTTTGTTTTATATCATTGTAACCATCGGTTTTGCTTTATATCATCGTCATCGTTTCTTAATCATCGTAACCATCGGTTTTGCTTTTATATCATCGTAACCATCGGCTTTGCTCTTATATCATCGTAACCATCGGCTTTGCTCTTATATCATCGTAACCATCGGTTTTGCTCTTATATCATCGTAACCATCGGCTTTGCTCTTATTTCATCGTAACCATCGGCTTTGCTCTTATATCATCGTAACCATCGGTTTGCTCTTATATCATCGTAACCATAGCTTTGCTCTTATTTCATCGTAACCATTGGCTTTGCTCTTATATCATCGTAACCATTGGCTTTGCTCTTATATCATCGTAACCATCGGTTTTGCTCTTATTTCAGTAACCATCGGCTTTGCTCTTATTTCATCGTAACCATCGGCTTTTGTTTTATATCATCGTAACCATCGGCTTTGGTTTTATATCATTGTAACCATCGGCTTTTTGTTTTATATCATCGTAACCATCGGTTTTGTTATTATTTCATTAACCACCATCAGCTTTGTTTTATATCATTAACCATCGGTTTTGTTATATCATCGTAACCATCGGCTTTGTTCATTATAACCATGGCATCGTAACCATCGGTTTTGGACCATCGGCTTTGTTTTTATATCATTGTAACCATCGGTTTTGCTCTTATATCGTAACCATCGGCTTTGCTCTTACTTCATCGTAACCATCGGCTTTTTCTTATATCATCGTAACCATCGGTTTTCTTATATCATCGTAACCATCTTTGTTTTATTTCATCGTAACCATTGGCTTTGCTCTTATATCATCGTAACCATCGGTTTTGCTCTTATATCATCGTAACCATCGGTTTTGCTCTTATATCATTGTAACCATCGGTTTTGCTCTTATATCATCGTAACCATCGATTTTGCTCTTATATCATCGTAACCATCGGTTTTGCTCTTATATCATCGTAACCATCGATTTTGCTCTTATATCATCGTAACCATCGATTTTGCTCTTATATCATCGTAACCATCGGCTTTGTTTGTTTTATATCATTGTAACCATCGGTTTTGTTTCTTATATCATCGTAACCATCATTTTGTTTTTATATCATCGTAACCATTTGACTTTTGCTCTTATGTCATTCATCTATTATTTCATCGTAACCATCGGATTTTTATGTCATCGAAAATTCTATTATTTCATCGTAACCATCGGCTTTACTCAGATTTCATCGTAACCATCGACTTATACTTTCATGCTGTTTACTTATGTTTCTACACTTTCATCCGAATGTGGAAGCAGAAATCGGACGACAGACAATTTTTTCACCCCAATCTGCTATGTTTGTTAGCGAATTGTAACCTCAATTTCTTTTTCTTGTCATAGAGTAAATGGCATCCAGCGTGGACTTCTGCTGCTGTAGCTCATCTGATTCAAGGTTCAATTGTTCCGCCTTTAGCGATTGTTTTATGTATAGCCTTATTCTCAAGAGTAGTTACTTGAGCCACCGTTGCCTTTCTATCACTTGAACCACTTTGACCACTCTTCTCTGAACACTTTCATCGACAAGAGATTTCTACTCACAGAATTCTCATTCCCTGTTTTTTTTTAATATTTAATGACGATTCACTATACATTCTAGAGATGATTTTTTCGTGAAAATCCTAATAGAAGTGGAATCTTTTGAAATATCAAACCCACCCCCTTGCCAGCAACAGCCATACATCATTCAGAATCATTAAAAGTAACTTTCCCATTTTGATAGATTTCTGCTGCGTCATTGGCTGATTAGAAAATTGCATGAAAGAGCATTTTTTTTTTCACGTGTAATTAAATGGCCACTGTGTGTAAACGAAATGGCACGCAGGTGTTCAGTCGATTTTAACAGGAAATGTTTGACATAATCTAATATTTAAATCCCTTCTATGATATGAACACGAGCATAAATGAGGCGACCCGAAAAAGAGTACGGGTCACACAGGGCAGCAGCAACATCTTGGTTATATTCGATGTTCAATTTAGCATCCCTTTAATTATGTTCCCCACCACTGGACACACCCATAGAGACACCTGCACAAAAGCACGTACATGCATCATGTGATATATATATATATATATATATATATATGTGTGTGTGTGTGTGTGTGCGTGTATGTGTGTGTGTGTATGAGTTGAGTTCAAATTCATGTATATATATATACATATAAACTTTATTTCAATACTTCGTGAGCTTCCGATCCTTAGCTATAAGCATATTAATGAACATATCATTTTCATTTACGATCCGTTTATCCCGATTCTTCTGTTAAGCTTAGAGGGCAATTATACATTCATATTGCTAAAAGTAGTGTGTGTGTTTTTAGTTTTGGCGAATGCACAGTATACTAGTGTCAGTTGGGCACCATCTGCGCGACAAAGAGCATAATGATACAATTAATTCCGCCAGAAATTTGGAAAATGGTATGCTGTACTGCTTGGCATTCCCACCGGAGGCTTTAATGTCGACCATATTAAATCAATTTACTCTTCAGTATTTCAAGATATTTTTGTGTAATTTTGTTAAATATATTTGTTAAAATAAGATGTCAATGTTCTTTTAATTTTTGTGTAATTTAGACAAAAATCTATCCATCGCAAACACATACACACTATATATATATATATACCATTGTGAAAATTAATTGAAACAACCGCTTTAGTTTACTTCCCTTCAACGTACAGTCAGTTTTAGAACCAATGGACTTACAGAGTGTAATCGACTTCTATTTTTTCTCAGATTATGTCATTTGCAGTGGTGTGCAGTAATATGAATCTA